AGTTATTCCGAAAAACTTCATTTATTATCCGATTTGCTTCAAATTCAAACTACGCATTACAAATGGACCCGATAGGTGGCTTCAGAGCCGAATGCCCGCTTTTTCCGTATAAGCCTACGAATGCCTGCTTAGGTTTCACCATCTACTATCTATATATTAATACGCTTACGAAATCCCATACAAATCTATTCCTCCCTACTGCTCCTATGTTTCTCAACCAATTTGAATGATTCTTCTTTTGTTCGAAAGGTATTTCAAAGGGGAGGTGCGCATTTTGTTTCTTTTTTTCAGTAGGTGGAGTAGGAGTGGAGTTATTCCGAAAACCTTCATTTATTATCCGATTTGCTTCAAATTCAAACTACGCATTACAAATGGACCCGATAGGTGGCTTCAGAGCCGAGTTATTCCAATTTCCGTATAAGCCTACGAATGCCTGCTTAGGTTTCACCATCTACTATCTATATATTAATACGCTAACGAAATCCCATACAAATCTATTCCTCCCTACTGCTCCTATGTTTCTCAACCAATTTGAATGATTCTTCTTTTGTTCGAAAGGTATTTCAAAGGGGAGGTGCGCATTTTGTTTCTTTTTTTCAGTAGGTGGAGTTATTCCGAAACACTTCATTTATAGTCTGATTTGCTTCAAATTAAAAATACTTATTACTAACAGCAAGATAAATACACCTACAAAAAATGGACCCGATAGGTGGCCGCAGAGCCGAGTTATTCCAATTTCCATATAAGCCTATGAATGCCCGCTTTGGTTTCACCATCTACTATCTATATATTAATACGCTAACGAAATCCCATTCAAATCCGGAGCCAGATTATTCCAATTCCCGTATCAGCCTATGAATGCGTGCTTTGGTTTCACCATCTACTATCTATATATTAATACGCTAACGAAATCCCATTCAAATCCGGAGCCAGATTATTCCAATTCCCGTATCAGCCTATGAATGCGTGCTTTGGTTTCACCATCTACTATCTATATATTAATACGCTAACGAAATCCCATTCAAATCCGGAGCCAGATTATTCCAATTCCCGTATCAGCCTATGAATGCGTGCTTTGGTTTCACCATCTACTATCTATATATTAATACGCTAACGAAATCCCATTCAAATCCGGAGCCAGATTATTCCAATTCCCGTATCAGCCTATGAATGCGTGCTTTGGTTTCACCATCTACTATCTATATATTAATACGCTAACGAAATCCCATTCAAATCCGGAGCCAGATTATTCCAATTCCCGTATCAGCCTATGAATGCGTGCTTTGGTTTCACCATCTACTATCTATATATTAATACGCTAACGAAATCCCATACAAATCTATTCCTCCCTACTGCTCCTATGTTTCTCAACCAATGTGAATGATTCTTCTTTTGTTCTAAAGGTATTTCAAAGGGGAGGTACACATTTTTA